AAAAAATATAATTATATTTATTTTTTATGGAAGAAGCAAAATTTTTACGCTATCTAAGATTTCTTAACAGGTTGCTCTTTTATTTAAGCTTAATTTCGTTTCAATGCAGTTTTTTCAGATATAGAGTGAGAAAAAAAAAAAAAAAAAAAAAAAAAGACCACACTGAATAACTTTTGATCTATTGATCGAATCTTCACGTTTTAGGGTTCAATCTTATGGTTCAAAGAAGTGACCTCAAATGTGCTAAGTTATAAGTACAGACGATATTTTAAGTTACGAAATCAGACACAAAAACCAACATTTACAGAGAGAAAAAACTTTTTTTTCGACATATTTCGATTTCTGACCCTCAAAATATGGGGGTTACTGAAATATGGGTATATATGGTAGTATAAACTTTTAAAAATAACTTTCCAATGACTCCTGGAATAAAATTTAAAATTTAATTAAAATTTAATTAATTAGCATGTTTGAGATCACCCTCTCAAACCTTTAAGATTAAGTTCTAGAACGTGAAGGTTTGATCATTAAATCCAAAGTTATTGATTAGTTTGTCTTTTGCACATCGAACACTTCGTTTTTTAGTGTAATCTATGGGTAGTTATTTTATGGGCAAAAAGTTCTCTTTTTCTTTGACCATGAGAGGTTTTCAGGGCTTTTGAATCCATTTTGCGTAAATGTTGATTTGTTTTACTTAAAATTTTTCTCGATGGTAAATGTGATCTCAATCTCTAAACTAGGATCAATCGAATAAGCTCGAGTTTGAAAAATGACCTCTTTCTGACGTCACGTTTCCTCAGTTAGAAAACACCGGAAAAGTTGCACTTTCTTACAGATTTTGCTAAAGGATGGTGATCTTCATTTTCCCTCCCAACAATCAGATGCTTTTCATTTAGCAATTTTCTCGCAAACGCGTTTCGAACGTTCGAATAGAATGTCTTTAACTGCCTTTAACTGCAGGTTTTTGAATTTAAAGATATCCACATATTTCATGAATATATAACAAAGACATATTTTCATCCTCTTAAAATTATTGTTCCATATAAGAGTTCGATAGATAAATTATTTTTTAAACAACTTATTTCGAAATAAAGCTTAAAATATTTTATTGATTCAAATTTTTGCACATTCTTATACACAAATTCTGTATAATCATCGCCTTATTTTTATTAAATTTTATTTCAGCTGCTTCTTCAAATCTTTCAATTTTCGATGGAAAAAAAAGAGGTGAGTTATAAATAGTATAATAAATAAGTAAGATTTCTGTAATAACTATATCAAAAACTATATGAAATAAAATTTGTGAGAGTATTTTTCCTCTATATATTTTACTATTAAAAAGATCGCATGATATACGAAAGAAGGGAATACTTTTTTGATGAAATCTTGTTTCATATTATTATAAAGTAGCTGATAGATTCAGATGCATGATTAAGAAACAGTTTTTTTTTCTCTATTTTTCTGATAATCTTTTGAATTTTTGTTATTTAAGTTATTTCAAAACAAAATAATATTTTTACTTTCATATCTATAATATTGCAATATACTAGATAATTCATTAGAAAAAAAATTCTGAAATTTTATGGAAATGAAACTGTTTGAGATTAACATTAAAAAATTTATAAAATCAAAACTTTTAAATTTTTTATTAGAAATTGTGATAAAAAAATAAAAAGGCTTAATAAAGAAATGCGTTTTAGTTGTTCTTTTAAACTTTTATGTAACACTTGTAACTTCTAAAAATACTTATTTTTTAAAAGATGGTAAATTGCAATTGAAGGGAGAAAAACAAATCTAAGCATCATTTTTTTCTGCTGTGAGTTTCTTGAAAAGTATTCTAAAAATAGCTAGGTATTTCTAAAGGTATTCTGTGATAGTCAACGTTTAATATTATACTAGACGTTTTTGGCTTCCTTTAAACTATATTTTAGATTATCCTAATGAATGCAATTGATTCTAATTCAAAAAGTAGTTTAACAAACTCATGGGACACGTTTAAAAAAAGAAATCTTTTTAAATAACTTCAGCAAAATTTATTAGCATACACAAATGTAAATTAAAAGCAAAACTTTCCGTCATCAAATAGAAGAAAAAAAATTAGAGTATTTTGTCATTGATTTTTTTTAAATTTTAAATTGCATCGTATGAAACTTCCTACACAATTTTTTAATACAAATAAAACCACGAATATTTGGCTATAACTCTGATGGCTAGAAATTATCTAGCTAAAACCTCCTTTTTTGTGGTAATACTCATGCAATCAGCATAAGATCCAGAAACTATGCTGTTGGAGGCAAAATTCTAACGTTAGATACTTAAATAACAAGCGAAGTGCGACTAGTTGGCACATTTGTCTTCTGAGTTGGGCAATTTAAAAGCGTATTTGCAGACTATTTTTTACCAAATCCTATTCGATAACACACAATGGTTNGAAACTATGCTGTTGGAGGCAAAATTCTAACGTTAGATACTTAAAAAACAAGCGAAGTGCGACTAGTTGGCACATTTGTCTTCTGAGTTGGGCAATTTAAAAGAGTATTTGCAGACTATTTTTTACCAAATCCTGTTCGATAACAATTACCTACAATTACCGTTGATTTAAAAACAAGCATTTTTCCTTTAACTAACTTCCAATTTCTATTCATTTCCTGTTGAAAATTCTATTTTTGGATTAATTTGGTGGAATTTTATTTAAAAAATGCCTCTTGGAACATTGCCTTCAGAACACTTCGATCCACTTTGAAAACCATTATCCAGCAAAATGAGGTTATTAGGGATTTCTTGCAAATAATGCCAATTATGAAAAGGAAAACACGGAGATTCTGTTCTCTGTATGCTGCTATCACACGGTTTTCAAAAGACTTAATGTAATGTAGTATTATGTCTTTATTTGCCAGTGGTTGTATACAGTAGGCCAGTAATTCTCAACTACTGTGCCGCGGCACTTTTGTGTGCCGTCAAATTCTTAAAATGCGCCGTCAAATTATAGAAATGATATAATAAAAATTATAATGCTTTTTTTAAATATNATTTATTATTATTATATATTAAAATTACTATATTAAAATTAATATTATTATTATATATTAATAATAATATTAAAAGGAGAGTATTAGCTTCGTGATTGGTTAGAAACAATTCCATTGAATCTTGCCTTCTAAGTCAAACTTCCGTTCTGGCTACGAGACGAAAAACGTTCAAAATTTTGCAGTAGAAACGAAAAACAGACACTCGTTCGAATCAATCGAGCAGAAACCAGGAGGTCAATCAATTTTTTTTCAGCTTCATAAGGGTGACAAAAGTTCAGATTCATAAGTGACAAAATAGTTTTTTGATGCATAGTAATCTTAACTCTGAGAAGGTCTTTCCTGGCCTTCGCTTCAACTATGAAGGTATAGACAGGGATGACATAAATTTTTAACCTCATCTCTTTGAAGATTCTTGAACTCGTGATATTGGTTTTGCGTGCGGCTAGATCATAAAAAGGAAGAATAATCATTAGTATCAAGATGTTGATATTTATATACGAAGTTCAACCGTTTGATACGAAAATGTAAAGCTATCTATACATATCTTATCTCTAAAGCAATCCTTGGGTTTGATAAGTTTTAAAGATATTTAATCAATTGCTAAACGTTCACGCAGTTATGAAACGTTTTAATTCTTTTTTATCTTTAAATTATGTAAAAATGAATTAAATGTTGCACTAATATTGTATCATAAGTGTTCGGATCAATATTCACTTTAAGGTATTACCTTATAAACGAGTATTTTGACAAAAAAATATCACATTTTGTTTCGCTATTTTATAATAATGTACAATTTTTCTAGTTTTCAATGCTGCTTTGTTTTTGAATGTGCGTCGAATAGAGCTTTAGTTATAGCAATTTTAGTAATACATGATAGCTGACAAACTTACTGAAAATTAAACAAACGAAGCCGGAAGTTGGTCATAGTTCCATTTTTATTTGGGTGAATATTTCTCTGAAATATTTAATATTTGAAAACTTTTACACTCTCGGATAACAATTTGAATTATATTTCAATGAGATTTTACGGTTTTTTGTTACTGTTTGTGGGCAACAAATGAAAAGTTTTGTACCAGTTGTATTACCTTTAATTTATCATTATATAAAAATATTTAAAAATTATTTTTGTAATTATTAAAAAAATTATATTTATAGTTATTCATGTATATATATTGTAAAGCATAAAAATATTATAAGATTGTTGTTTTATTAAAACATTTTCTTTTGTAGAATGCTTAAAAAGTTGTAGATTGTTGATGGTATTCACTACTCTAAAATACCGTCAAAGGTAAGCATTAAATATGAAAATAAAACTAAGCAAATGTATAAAGGAATGCGCCACCCATAAAATATAGAAACTTCCAGCTGCCAAACATTCATAATTTCCAACTGAAATGTAATTATAAACTATTATTTCATTTTTATCAAAACTAAAATTTTACAATTTTTTGTCTACTAAAAACAAGAAAACTCAGATAATTATAATAAATTTGTCTTCAAACTTTCAATGAATGTTCCTTGTATTTGTGATTATGTAACAGACCTCTAGAGTTCAGATTATTATTTTTTTGTCGTATGCCTTTTTAGGCTGGGGGTGCGATTATTCCTGTTTTTCAGTGGCGCCATCTATGGCCAGGAATTTGACTTCTGCCACGCCATTCACACAACCACAACCCGTTTATAGGGCCGTTAAAGGAGAAAGAACATAGAACACACAGAGAGAGAAAGAAACATCAATGCCTTGCCCGGGATTGGAACCCAGGACCTTTCTGATGCAAGGACAGTTCCCTGCCTCCTACCAATACCTCCTAGAGAGGAATCAAGCCCCACAAAGGGTTACTATAGGTGATGATGACGTAGTAGAGTTAGGCCCAGAGGGAAACCAGTCAGGGTAGCTATTTTTACTAAAAACTCCGAATCTGATCAAACGAGCCATTGGCGATATTCTGAAGTATTATAACCTGTGCCGGCATTCAGCCAATTGGCGAATATTTTTGATTTGAATTTGTAAACAACCGTCGGTGTTCTGGTGTCAACGTTCTTCGTAAAATTTATATTTATTCAACAAATGTTGTAAATGTCAGCATTAATTTAATTCTTAGTGTTATGGATAATTGCCAATGAGTGCTGTGTACCAAACTGCAGAGGATTTTACAAAGTTGATGGTACAAAAGTATTAAATTTTGGATTTCCCAATACGTAAGAAATGGCTTGCCGCCATGCCAAGAGATTTTGAAGTTGCAAAGAATTCTAAAGTGAGTAATATTTGTTCTTATTTTTAAAAATTTAATTATGCTTCTTTATTATATTTTTACTAAGAGTAAATTATTTTAAATTGTGGATAAATTATTTATAATAATTAAGTTGTTCTTATCAATCATATCGCAAACTATTGTAATATATAGTTATTTTTATAGAGTTTTATTTTATAAAAATATTAATAATTTTAGTATTTTATTAAATTTTTGCTCAAACTTTAAACATTTTTGTTTGACCATAATATATTGTAATTTATTTGATTATGAAATTTAAATCTATTAATTTTTCTACAAAAATCTATTAATTTTTCATACATGAATATAGTATGTACTATTTATTTTAAATGCACATTTAAATATTGTATTCATTTTGTTATAGGTATGTGAGATGCATTTCAAGGAAAATGACATTAGAAAAGAAACGTTAAATGACATTAGAATTATTTTTAAATGTTACTGAAAGTTAAACATATTTCAGTAAAATTTGTGTTTACATTTTATTTATAATTTTTTGAATTTGCTACTTAATAAAATATTTGTTATCTAAGGTTGCTTACTTTATTTTAGCTTATCAGTGTGACGGGTAAAAATTATACTTTTATAAATGTTATTGAAAGTTTAATATATTTCAGTAAATACATTTTATTTATCATTTTTTGAATTTGCTACTTAATAAAATATTTGTTATCTAAGGTTGCTTACTTTATTTTAGTTTATCAGTGTGATGGGTAAAAATTATACTTTTTTAAATGTTACTGAATGTTTTAACATATTTCAGTAAAATTTGTGTTTACATTTTATTTATCATTTTTTGAATTTGCTATTTAATAAAATATTTGTTATCTTAGGTTGCTTACTTTAGTTTTAGTTCTGCTTACTTTAGTTTTAGTTCATCACTTCTAACAATCACACTTCCTCAGGAAAAAAATACAAATTATAATCATGCTTTTGATCTGTTTTTTTTTTTTCTATCTAAACTATGTTTGAAGACTGCATTTGATTTTCTAAATTTTCCTAAGCTCATTTTATGTCATTGTTTATAAACAATTTCTATTTTATTTCGTATGCTCTAGTTCTAATAACATGCAAAACAAAATCATTAAAATCCAAAACAATCATCTACTAAAAATGTAAGTATCACATTATAAAAATTAGACCCCTTTCTTAGTTTTATGTCAAAACTATAATAATAATAAATGTGTCCCTTTAAAAATATATTTCTTTGTTTTTAATCCATACATTTTATAACAAAAAGCTAGATAAAATTTTCCAATTTATAAAATAAAACTGGTATTTAATGCTTAAAAATATATCTTTATCATTCACACAGCAGTTATTTTTGTTAGAATTGATGTATTGTTAAGCATTTCTGAAAACAAATAAATATGTTAAGCATTTTTACACAATTTAAGAACATTTAATCTAGACAAAAAAAATAATAATAATAATTTGTAGAAAGTAAAAAATTAGTAGAAGAGTAACGAAAAAGTGTCGAGAAACAGAAGGGAAAAAAAAACAGTCATCGTCAGAAGAGATCAGCAAATCTGGGCCTAACTGTATGAGTCATCGTTTTGCGTCCTTCGGCTTTCTTCCCATCTAGGAGGTATTGCCCCTACACAGGCCAGTCGGCAAGAGTTCAGATAAATGTTTTATTTTTTGTCTATGAGATATTTTGTTGAAAATAATGGTAACAAAATGGAGAAAAAATTAGAAAAATATGCTTAAAACACCATATTTTTTATTAATTTTATGATATCGTTTAAGTAGAGGATCACGACACTTTAGATGGTTACATGAAGCTGATCAGAAAATTTGATTGCTGTATACACAATAGTTTTTTCTACAGAGTATTTTCCCTTAATGAGTTATTTTCATTAAAATTATCTAAAAACTCCTTTCAAATAAACAAAAAATTTCCTGTGCTTTTATATTTTTTCCTATTAAATATGTTTATTTATATTAATATACAATATAAATTATAATAAAATTGAGAAGAATTTTGATTTCTCAAAATTTTTTTTTCCGAAAATAGTTTGATACCTTGAAACCCATTCAAAATCAGGTTATAAAAATTTAACAAAAAAAGAAAAATACCACAAAAATATTTTTGTTCTACAAAATAATTAAACTACTACCCATAATTATTTTTGCTAGAAAATAGTGATTTATATGTATAATATGAAAAAATCCAACGAATATTTAGAAATTGATCTTTATTTTAAAAGTCTTTCTTACAATTACCATTAAATTAAAAACAAGCATTTTTCCTTTAATTAACTTCCAATTTCTATTCATTTCCTGCTGAAAATTCTATTTTTGGATTAATTTGGTGGAATTTTATTTAAAAAATGCCTGTTATGGAAGACTGCCTTCAGAACACTTCGATCCACGTTGAAAACCATTATCCAGCAAAATGAGGTGATTAGGGATTTCCTGCAAATAATACCAATTATGAAAGGGAAAACACAGGAGATTCTGTTCTGTGTATGCTGCTATCACAGGGTTTTCAAAAGACTTAATGTAATGCATTATGTCTTTATTTGCCTGTGTTTGTATACAGTAGGCTAGTGATTCTCAACCACTGTGCCGCGGCACTTTTGTGTGCCGTCAAATTCTTAAAATGTGCCGCCAAATATTAGAAATGATACAATAAAAATTATAATGCTTTTTTTCATTACGAGTAAAGCTTAAATTATACAAAAGTGTACACATATATAATATTATATATATAATATTATATATACAATATTATATGTAAACTTTAGTAAAAATTTTCCACGCTTTAACCGCACGAACATCTTTATCGGCGATTGTCTTGTCTCTGACAATCTTAAAATAAGTTAAAATAAGAAGGAAGTGTTTAAATTGTCTTTGACGCACAATTTTAAAAAAATGTTAAAATAACTAGGAAATTTAATGACTATTAAAATAATTAACAAATGTACAAGCTAAATATTAACTTTCCAACGGAAATAAAAGCTAATCATTAAAGTAAGCTATGCAGTTAATTGTTATAAAAGCAAATTAACCAAGGATAACTAACAAAAAAATAAGCTAACAATCAATAATTAGCAAAAAAACTAACAAGAAATCACAAAAAAGTAATAATTAATGTAAAAAAACTAACAGTTAATAACTAGAAAACAAGCTAACAATTAATAACTAGCAAAAAAATAACTGTTACTAACTAACAAAAAATTAGTCGAAAGAAATAATTAATCCCTTAATAAGTACATAATCTTTTATTTCATATTCAAAGTTATTATCACAGACTATTTAACGCAGTGTATTATAGGTAAGTAAACAACTTTTAAACTATTTTTTTTTTCATTGTGTGTCGTCAAATTTTGAAATCGTTATAAGTGTGCCGCCACAAATAAAAAATTGATAATCACTTCAGTAGGCCATGAACTACATTTAACAAGCTTGAAACTGAAAGAAAACAGTATTCGCATGTAAAATTTCAGTTATGCGAGTTGCTAGAAACTCAAAACTTAACAACGAATTATAAAACTCAAAGTTTAAATTTTTAACAAATGTTCCTTAAAGTAAATTAACATTTAAAAGTGAATACTGAAATATGAATCGATAATGTTATAAAAATATCTGTTGACGAAATTTATAGTTGTGAATTTAACATTTAACACTATTAGAACAGAATAGAAAAATATTTATGATATTAAATCATTTAGATTATTAGTTAATTTAAAATTGTTTTCCGAATCTGATTTTTGTTGCGGAAAACTTAAGAGTTGTGAATTTATAGTTTTTCACAATTGAAATTAAAATATAATTGGGTATAATATGAAAAAAGCGCAACTACTTCCACTTACAAGGAATAACATTTACCTTTTAGTTTAATTAATAAACTGAGTTTTAATTATGTTTACTAAATTCATAAACTTCGGTAAAACAACAATATAAATTATTTCCAAAGGAACTAGACTAATACAATTCCAACCTGGAGAGTAGCTACTTATAAACAAGACACTTCGTTTGATGCTTTTACTTGTTGCTAAGCTAGAAATCAGGTTCGCAGAAAATGCTGTTTACTAGTTAAATTTAGTAGGAATAACACGATCTGTGACGTATGCTATAGTATATCCAATTATAGCATTAGATAATTTTATGATATTAAAAAAAAAATATTTTTTACGAAATTTGCAGTTGTGAATTCAACGTCATATACAATTAAAATTGAAAAATAATATTAAAAACTTCAGATGCCATTGGATTATTTTAGATAATTTAATGATTTTAGAATAAAAATATTTATTAACGTAATTTGCAGTTCAGAATTTAACGTTAAACGCACAAAGAATTTTTAAAAAAAAATTGAAGTTGTCAACAAACGTACAAGAAACGATATGCCATAAAATATTCAAACAAAGAAAATCACATGTTTCTGTCTCAGATGATAATACCATGTCAAAATATGAATTTCAAATTATTATATTTTTTATGATATTTGATAGTCACAACACGAATATTCAATGAAATACAGGATAAAGTTTTCTCTAACAAACTCAATAATAGAAGACGTCAAAATCATTTTAGAAAATATTTCTAACAGCTTTTCTGAAAAATTGAAATTCTGTTTCTATGGGGATTTTTTTTTTTTTTTAAAAAAAAAAAAAAAAAGAAGAAGAAGATATAATCAATTACCGAATAGCATTTTATGAACGTTCTCTATCTTTTTCAGAAGTCTTCGCACAAATTGAATTGGAAAGTTAGAACTTTATTGATAGAAAATCAAAATCAGAATAGAACACTTTCAGGTGAAATTGAAAATTTCATTTCGAATAAAAGTAAAGACATTGAAATAGAAAAACTAGATATGCTAAAAAATATCTATACAGTTTTTTTTTTTTAATTCTCAAAATGAAACCTTATGACATATTCAAAAAAAATCATCAATTCTATGTACTATACGCATAGTCTAAAATTGTTTTTTAAATTTCCGATTTCTTACCGTAGAAGACGATAAAAATGATTTCATCTTATTGCATTGAGTTTCTATTGGAATTCGATACAATAGGTTGAAAAAGCTTTAGGCGTGATTTCTTCTTATTCTTTTTCATCATTCTAACGTGATTCGGAATGAATCCGATTCCATTGTACCTTTGCTTTCCAATTATAATACAAAATGCATGCTTTATTCTAGGTAAAATTAAACGCTAATGAAAATTTACAAATATAGTTTTACATATCAAATATTTTTATGCGGATGCTAAACAAATTTTAAGTGGACAAATTATGATACGATATGTCAGTACTTTTTAATATTTTGAAATGATTTTGTTCAATTTAATTACAGAAAATATATTTGCAATAAAATAAGTCTTAATTAAGAAAAAAAATATAATAGATCAATTGGTTCTTGCAAACTTAAAAAACTTATTCATCTAATGTG